AAAAGAGCGGCGTGCGCGCTGCTGCAGCTGCTGCTCCTGCTGCTGCTGCTGCAGCTGCTGCTGCAGCTGCGGCTGCTGCTGCCCCGGCGCTGGGGCCCCCTAGGGTTTAGGGTTTAGGGTTTAGGGTTTAGGGTTTACGGTTTAGGGTTTGTGAGCAGGAAATGCCCACCAGGTCCCTCTTGTCGCTGCAGTGCGGCCACCAAACCCTCGAGCTGCAGCGGGAAGGGTTTTGGGCAGCAGCAGCTGAAGCAAAAGAATGGCAAGTTCATTTATTTATTTATTTATTTATGTTTTTATTTATTATTTATTTATTCATTCATTTATTTATTTATTTTTTTATTTATTTGTTATCTTTCAGGCTGGCCCGCGCTTTGCTGCCGAAGACAGTTGGAAGAATCCCAGAAGCCAAACTCCACCGAACAGACAAAACGTCTGCTGCTGCTGCTGCTGCTGATGATGTTGTTGTTGCTGCTGCTGGTATTGCTGCTAATGACGGTGATGGCGAAGCTGATGCTGCTGCTGTTGCAGTTACTGCTGGTGCTGCTGCTGTTACTGCTGTTGCTATTGCTGCTGCTGTTATTGCTTCTGCTGCTGTTGCTGCTGCTGCTATTGCTGCTGTTGCTGCTGTTGCTGCTGCTGCAGTATTGCATACGTAGACGTCGATGAGGATCACGTGGGAGCGGCTCTTGAGGCCGTGCAGCAGTGGACGCAGTTGCATGTTAGCTCCAAACCCTAAACCCTAAACCCTAAACCCTAACCCTAGAAGTAAACCCTCGCCTTCAAGTTTTTCAGGGTTTGGTGCACTCACGAAACCCTAAAAACTGCTGGAGCCCCCCTTGCCTGAGAGGGTCTGAACCCTCATCTGCTGCAATCAGCGTTCAGGGTCTAGGGTTTAGGGTTTAGGGTTTAGGGTTGCAGCAGCAAGTGTGGGGTTCTTTTGCTGCAGCCCGAAGACCCTGTAGTTGTGCGGCTGCCCCAAGAGAGGCCCCCAGTAGAAACAGACCGATGGGGGCCCCCCGGCCAGTTTAGGGGGGCCCCCCTTAGGGGGGGCCCCCCTAGAAGGGGGCCCCTTCAGGGGGGCCCCCCTAGAGGGGGGGCCCCCAGGTGGGGGGCTCCTAGAGGGGGGCCCCCTGGGGGCCCCCCCTTTCTTTTTAGTAAGCCTTTGCGCTCTGGCAAAACAAGAGACAGCCGCAGGCAACCCCTGTACCCTTAGCCCTAAACCCTAAACCCTAAACCCCAGAAGATGGGACGCAGTTGCTTTCCAATTGGTTTAGGGTTTAGGGTTTGGGAGGGTCTAGGGTTTATAAAGTCTATTCGAGCGAACACTTCCTACGGCCCGCACTCGCGGACGACGCTAAACCCCAAACCCTAAACCCCAAACCCTAAACCCTAAACAACGTTTGCCCGACGTTTTGGGACTATAATGCTGGAAGTAAATGAAAATAAGGACAAAATAAATAGGTATAAATAATAAAAAGTAGTTTTAGAATTGAATGCAACTTTTAAAAAGAAATGAAAGATAAATTTGGGCTCGAGCTGGCCAGCGCCGGAAGCGCCCGCCGGGTGTACGTACACCGGAGCTTCCTAAAAGAGGAAATAAAAGGAAAAATAAAATCACTTTTCAGAAAATAAAAAAGCAAGAAAGGGGCCCCACAACAAAGACGCACCTGCCCCAAAGAAGGGCCCCCGAGGGTCTTTTGGGGGCCCCCAGGGGCCCCCAAAAGACCACTGGGGGGCCCCTTTCAGACCACTGGGGGCCTCATAAAGACCACTGGGGGGCCCCTTTTGGACCACCGGGGGCCCCTAAAGGCCACTGGGGGCCCCCTTTAGAGCACTGGGCCCCCTAAAGACTACTGGGACATTGGGGGGCCCCTAGAGAGCACAAAGAGCCCCCGGGGCCCCCAAAGAGCAGCAAAGGACCCCCAAGTGGGTCCTTGGGGCCCCCCGGGGCCCCCCGAGCCGAAAAAAGGCCCCCGAGCCCCGAACAAGCGCCGGCCTCCCCCAAACCCCAAACCCTCGCAAACCCTAAAAGAGCGAGTTCAGCCGACGATAATGGGGTTGACGGGCCCGTCGTTCTTCTCCTCAAACGGCGGAAAGGCCCCCGCCTGCTGGTCCCAGTGGCCCCTGTCCCGCATGTGCTCTTCGAAGTGCTTCTCATCTCGCGGGATATAACCGCACACGCGGCACCGCCGCTTCGGCCGCCACGCCCCGCCCCA